CTGTGTAATCCAATTCTCAAATAAATACATGCTTTTTATGAGCCCATTCTTTTTAGTGAATCAAAAGCATATAACGTGACCAGTGCAGTCTGATTCACAAAAAAAAAAAAAGTCTTAATGATTCTGTGAATCAAATGCACACAACATGACGAATGCATGAACCAAGGACTACAAATAAGCCAGTTCAGTGAATAAATGAGAGAATTCAATAACGAATGAAATATGTCACTACATTTTTTGGTTTGTTTGTTAAGTTTATTTATTTAATGTATATTATTGGATTGCATTCATGGCGCCTCTAAAAAGCTGTAAAAAGTCATTAAAAAGCCTTGTAAAACAACCTTTTGAAATGAATGAATTACATTTATATCTGGTCTGTTCTCATCTCATAATTTGGCAACAGCCTGCTGAGGACAGTAAATGCAATACAAAATGTATTTGTTTCTTTTCCCAAATACAATGCAGGTCATTGTTGTTTGAAACATTTTAAGACACTTGATAAGTTATTATTTAGGTTCTTTAGCATTATGTTTGAAGAGATTATTTTGCTCTTTTGAGGATACACAAAAGATGTGAACCCAAGGTGAGTGCCGTGATTTCTGCAAGCACGCATTTAGCATGACTGGTGCAGATTGCAATTTAATTAGATGTTAATCATCTATAGAACATAAATGACCATGTGTGTGCATCATGCTGTTTTCTGGCCATTAGTGACAGATGAGCTCAAGAGTGTAGCAGGCCATTAGCTCTCTGCAGCACGTGTCTGTCTCTGACTGAGGCTGTGCCCTCATTACAAATGTAGCCCATTGAAGCAGAGTAGAACAGCTGACATCCCCTAATGTCAGCTATAAGTCATCAGCGGTGCTCATGCCCACTTTACACACACACACACACACACACGATAGAGCTCCTATTAATGAGGGGTTTCTGGGATGAGTGTAAAATATCTGCTGACAGAGACAGGGCACATTTAAGAGATCAGAGCATTGTTAGAATTATGAAAAGATAAACTGAAAAGTCTAATTACTGGAAAAGAGGACGAAACCTGTGGCTATCCTTGCGTTTACAGACACCAGCTGAACACAGCCGAACTTTATGACTCACGCTGTTCAATCATTTTTTACTACTGCACACTGAAACAAAAGCTCAGGCTGAATTTACAAGTATCACAAGCAGTAACATATCTGATAATGCATTACTTTACTAGCTACTTGAAAAAAGTAATCTGTTTACGTAACTCGCGTTGCTTGTAATGCATTACCCCAAACACTGCTAATAAAAATACTTTGATCACTTTAATAATATTATAACATGGCCAACAATGATTAATTGGCTTAACTATTATTATAAAATGTGGCTAAAAGTACTCAGTCTACTCATTCTAAAAGTGTTAAATATGACAATTTTAAAGGAATGGCTCACACGACAAATGAATTTTTTTTTTTAACCCTTTAAGCCCTGAAGGCATTTTTGCTCCTCTGAAGGGTGTTGTTTTTTCTGAGTGACATGCACAAAAATAATGACTCATAACTTCTAAACTCTAGCAAGGATAGTCAAAAGGTAGGTATCGTTTGATAGAAAACTTTCTGTATTTTTAGGAAAAGAAAAAAAGTCTTTACATTTGGACATTCTCCTGCAGAGAAATAGCTGATAAAAGTGTAAGAAAAATGTGTGTGCTCAAGGGAAATTTTACATATCTGTCTTATTTGACATCCAATATCTCAGGAAAAAATAAGGTAGGGGAAACAAATTTTGGGGGGTGAAAAATGTGTTAGCTGTATGTGAATAAAATTTTATAGTGATAACATGAAGTAATCAAAAGTTACAGCATTTGGAACCAAGGTAGCCTTTTCCTTAGCCATTGACAGTTTTGAAATAGTTGTTTTCTGAGTGACATACACAGAAGTAATGCCTCGTTCAAGTTTAGTCGTTATGCTTGTTTTATTCTACTCTGTGAGATCTTTCAAATGACATATGACACATGACTATCTGAGCTGTATGATGTTTTTGACATATTAAGGGTACATGGCACAAAAACATATTTCATAAATTATGAATTATTTTTTTTTTCATTTATCAGCAAATAACTCGGCACTACTTTGGAGTTAATCAAATTGGCTACATGCATTGTAAAGGTCAGACTCTAAGCGTTCAAATGGCAAAATTTTTTTGTTGATCAAGGCAGTTGTTTTGAACACTCTATTTTAGAGGGACTACTCAGCACTCGATGAGAGTTGAATTAATTCCATTCATTAAAAAGCCGAGTTTCTAAGCTTTAAAATGATACATTTTGTGTTATTGCATTCGGTGGTTTTGTGGTATTCCATTAAGAATAATTGGGAGCTGGTAAAGGTGAGTCTTTGCAATGATCTGAGACAGTTTTATATTTCCAGTGTAACAGGAAAGTAAGGACTTAGTTACCTAGGCGTCTGAAGTGGCTTTCTATGACGCCTGTGTTCACAGACAGCTGCTTCACACACCAGTACCTAATGAACTTCTCTTTTGCACCTTACTGTGCTTGATAGCGTGTTCTTTTAGTCTACTGTAACCCGGTGTTAAATGCGTTAAAATATTTTTAATGTGTTAAACTAAAAAAAATGTATTGCACAATTAAGGTGTTCATTTTGACAGCCCTAATTTTAACATATTGTAAAATGTATTGTATTCAATTGATGGCAAAGTTGAATTTTCTCCAGTCAGTCTTCAGTGTCACATGGTCCTTCAGAAATCATTCTAATATACTGATTTGGCGCTCAAGAAACATTTATGATTATTATCAATGTTGAAAACATTGTCATGTTGCCTAATATTTTTTTGTGGAAACTGTGATTTTTTATTTTTATTGAAGCGTTGATGAATAGAAAGTTCATTGTATGCATTACTGCACACACAAATCCAGAAGATAAGCAAAGAACCAAACTGAACAATAAGTTGCTAATGCATTGATGTCCCTCTCTTTTGGATACTGACAGCCAGCTTGAGGAAACAGATGC